TATATATATATATATATATATGATATTATGGTATAGTGGATGTTTTTTTTTTTTTCAACCATTTTATCATGTAACAAGCAAAAATCCGAAATCTGGTTGCTCAGAGAAATAATAGCATGAATTCTTTTCATTAAGTTGCATGATCTGAGGTGTCATTTGAGTAACAGGCTTTGCCTTCACAAGCATCTCTATTAAGTTCCATTTGCTACCATTAAGATACCATTTGCTCATTCCTTTAGAATCATGTGATTTTTAGTTATCTTCTTTCCAGCTTACTCCATCACCTCTTTCTTTTCCCTCTGTTTTAGGAGTAGTGAGGTGCAACGTCTCTAGTGACAGTATTTGTTGTCCCTCCTCTTCTTCCTTTACATTCTCTAATTCTTCATCTAAGTCCTGGAGTGTTTCTTGCACGCTAGAGGTGGCTGGCATGACATCAGTCAGACCGCTGGACTCTGTGCTCGCATTCAAAGAATTCTGTTCGTCGGATGTTTTACGGCTTCCATCTTCCGGCCCGTGTCTCCGGATGGTCCTACGATTTCTGCTGTGGCGTGATTGGTTGCAGTGCAGTGTGCGTCTGCGGTGCCATTGGCTGAGAGATCTGTGTGCTTCTGCACTAAGTTGCCGCTTCGCTAGATGAGGCCGGAAGCTGCTAATGTAAAAAAGGGCAGCGTAGAGAGATGTAAGGTAGTACCCACCTAAGAGGAAGACAGAAAGACAGTATGCACATTATACATACTAGTATGTGAATATATATACATATATAAAAAAAAAAAAAAAAAAACTCAATAATGGATATAATATGGCTTTTATGAGGGAAGAACTGTGAATGCCAAAACAATGGTACAATATAAAAATACTGATTTGTAGAAATTTGTGATTTGTAAAAATAATTACAAAATATTCGTAAGTAGTGAATTGCGCTTTTTTACTTGGACAATGTCAATTAAATACAGTTTTTTTAGCTTTTTTTTTTCTTAAAGGGTTAGTTCACCCAAAAATGAAAATTAGCCCACAAATTACTCACCCTCAA